CTCACGTTTCCCGCCATTTTCCCCTCACGTTTCCCGCCATTTTCCCCCTCACGTTTCCCGCCATTTTCCCTCACGTTTCCCACCATTTTCCCCTCACGTTTCCCGCCATTTTTCCCCATCGTGTTTCCCACCATTTTCCCCCACATTTCCTGCCATTTTCCCCCTCACATTTCCCGCCATTTTCCCCCTCACGTTTCCCACCATTTTTCCCCTCATGTTTCCCGCCATTCCCCCCCCAAAATCACCCCAGACCCCCCTAAACCACCCCAGACCCCCCCCAAAATCACTGCAGACCCCCCAAAATCACCCAGGAATTCCTCTCGGTTGTTCCGGAGGTCTCTCCCGATGCTCAGCAGCTCCCGGATCTGGTGGATGACGGGCACCGGAGACCCCCCCATGTTGGCACGGCCTGGGGGGGGGGCACAGGGGGGTCACAAGGGGGGTCACAGGGGGGTCAGAAGGACATTTTGGGGTCCCCGGGGGGGGGATTTGGGGGCCTGAGAGGGAGGGGGATTTGGAGGAGCTCAGGGGGTCCCAGAGTGTCCGGGGGGGGGTCCAAGGGGGTTTTAGGGAGGTTTGGAGGGGGGGTGATTTCCAGTGAGGGGGGTCCCAAAGGGTTTTGGGGGGGTCTCAGGGGGTCCCAGGAGTTCAAGGTGTCCCAGGGGGGTTCCCAGGGGATTCTGGGGGGGTCCCAGGTGGTGCCAGGGGGGGTTTGGGGGGTCCCAGGGGTGTTTTGGGGTGTCCTGGGGCAGTCCTGGGGGGGTCCCAGAGTGGTTTTGGGGTGTCCTAGGGGGGTCCCAGAGTGGTTTTGGGGTGTCCTGGGGGGTGTCCTAGTGGGTTCTGGGGTGTTTTGGGGGTGTCCCAGAGTAATTTTGGGGGGTCCCAGGGGGTTCTTGGGGTTTTGGGATGTCCCGGAAGGGGTCCCAGGGGGTCCCAGGGTGATTTTGGGGTGTCCCAGGGATGGTTTGGGAATGTCCCAGGGTGATTTTGGGGTGTCCCGGGGTGATTTTGGGGTGTCCCGGGGTGTCCCCACCGTCGGACATGATGATGATGACGTGTCGGGTGGTGTTGGTGACGGGGGGGGGTTTGAGGCCCCTCATCTGCTCGGCCCGTTCCTGCTGCACCAGCTGCTCGTACACGGCCCGAAGGGCCCCGGCCAGGTTGGTCCCGGGGGCTTGCAAGTGGGCTGGGGGGGCGATGGGGGGGGGGTCATGGCACCCCCAGAGACCCCCCCGGCACCCCCAAATCCCCCCCTGCACCCCCAAATGACCCCAAGCACTTCAAACCACACCCAGCCCCCTAAATCCCCCCCAGCTCATACCCACTCAAACCTCATGGCCAGGTTGGTCCCGGGGGCTTGCAAGTGGGCTGGGGGGGCACGGGGGGGTCACGGCACCCCCAGAGACCCCTCCAGCACCCCCAAATCCCCCCC